AACTTGGGTGAAGGTCTGTAGAAGAGTGTGCCTGTTATTGGAACCCATGGATACAAAGGTCCAGCAGGAAGGAGGTGAGCATGGTGAGGTCTTGCTTGCAGTGTGGAGTGAACCTGCGGTGGGGGGAGGAGATGAGCAATCAGAGGGGTATGCAGGGACTGGATGCTGCAGAGTTTTCTGGGCTGTGGGAAGGAGTCAGCACTTCATCTTGCTGCAATGGAAGGTGTTCAGCAGGGAAGGACATGGTTAGCTTTTGCTTTGGCAAAGATCCCCTGGCTGCTGCATGGAAGAAGATAAGCAAGGGGGCTGTTTTGGAGGCTGTTGCAATACTCCAGGGGAGGCGGCCAACCCAGAGCGGAGCCAGAGGCGTGGAGGGGATGGGAGAGATGCTGTAGAGATGTCTGGAAGGAAGAATTGGCAGATCTTGGTTGTCATGCTGAAAAAGGGGACTAGGTCTGATTGCTAGATTGGAACTTCTCCTCTCAGCATCCCAACTCAGCAAACCCCTTCAGCTCCCAAGGTGGCTATCCCTTCTTTGAGGAAACCTAACATCTCTCACTCCCCCAACCTCACCCCCAGAATCATGCAGTCCTAGGAATTTAATGCGACTTTGAAGACAGATAAAAAAGCTCCTTCCTGTCTACTCCTCCTGTCTGTGAACCACCAAGGCAGGGAGCTCTTCAGTCTGTCCCCCAGGCATGTAAACTAAGCAAGGCACTTAAGAGGCCCTCACTCAATATTTGATGAAAGCAGGAAAAATATATGTAGCATAGAATATGAATCTATAAAAAACTATATTCTTTGAATCTAAAGGTCTTTCAGCGCTGACAGTCAAGAAGATGATGTTCAGTCAATAATTACACTCTATTCAGGTACGTGCTATGCTCTAAACACCTGCTAAGTATTATATTCAAGATGATCATTTATTCCTCCACAACCTTATGAGCTTTTGTTATCATTACTCCCATTTGACAGATGAGGAAACAGGTTCTCCACCAGGTCATTTGACTTGACTAAGGGCAACAGCTCGTAAGTGTCGGAGCTGAGATGCAAATTTAGTACCGTGGTAGGTGGCCCAGCAGTGGGCAGGAATTAGTGAAAGATGGAGAGTTTCTCTGCGCCTGCTGGAGAGATGTGGGGGTTACCTTTCCTAGCTGGGTACCCAGGATACCTGACCCAGGTGATTGGCTGCCATGACAATGTGATTCTGTAAAGAATGTTGCCTCTCTAGAATCCTCTCCCGGTAACCTGGCACCATGGCCTTTCCCCAAAACCCAGTTGCTATGTCCATCAGCATCTAGGACTAGCTTAAAAGGGATCACATGTCTGGGTTGTCCCCCACTCCCTTTCCTTCTCCTCCCCCCACCCTCACACTGCCAACCTTGTGTCCATGCCTAACACCCAAAAGATTGTGGGTTTACCTCCTGTCATCGTGGAAAAGAGATGATGTTCATAACCAAGGTGAAGCCATGGTTTAGGGGAGAAAGTGTGCAGAGTCCAAACTAGCAGTGAGAACTCCCCAGAAAGACCTTGGGCCTGAGAGCCCATGGGTCATTTCCATCTCCACTTGCTCTCCTCCAGTGCTGGACCCATCATATTTCTTGTGAAACACCTGTTGAAGTAGAAAATCGAAGTTTCGGTTTTGAGACAAAAAAAACCACATGGTTTATCTTTAATCTCTGACATTCTTCTCCAGATGCTGAGTAGCTCATATTTCGAGAGCATGTTGTGACGAGGACCCACTGGAGGAACAACAGGTTCCTAACAAATGTCACTGACGCTAGACCCTGACCTTTTTACAGGTTATTTTCTTTCGCTTCTTTTAAAGTCCGTGTTATTTTTCCTTACACTTTTTCCTCTGTTTTTTTATTTCATCACACTTTTCTTATTCATACATTCGTTAACAAAGTTAAGTAAATGTATTGATAAAGCAATAAATGAAACATAAAATAATTACTTGGTTATTTTCTTCCAGTTTTTTTTAGCTTTTTCCAAGTGCATCTATCATGTTCCAATAATACACATGTCTTTTCATACAACACCGATGAAAGGACATCAACAGCTTTGAGTTGAAAGCCATCTGGAAAGTCTAGACTATGAATGCAAAGAAATTTTAGGACTAACATAACTGATGAATTTCTAGGATGTTTTCCTTTTATAGGTCTCACGAGATTGATACACTGAAAAGCTGTATGTCTCAATCCAAAATAGTTCTTTTGAGAGGTATGAAATAAAAATTCTATGTGATCAGAAAGCAATTGTGTTATGGTTTAATGGACAGTGTTTCTCTTTTTCTTTTTTCGGATCATAAAATCACAGCGCATCTTAACTTCAATGAGGTCTTAGTGTTGAAATAAGAATAGTGGGTTTATGTGGCTCATAGGGTTGCAAAATTTGACTCCACTACAGTAGAATCGTAAAGTTGCACACACAGACCTTAGGAACTGGGGGTGGGAAACTGTGTAGCTTGACTTTGAATCAGAGATGGTGGAAGCTTCGAGATAAATGACAGAATCTTGGAGAATCATGGAACTCTGAAACCATAGAATCCCAGCATCATAATCTTCAGCTGGGTGGACATTTGGGCTGTCATTTTACAGATGGGAAAACTGAGTCCCAGGAAGTCATTTGCTCGATGCTTTGTAGGTTCTAAGCCCGGTGCTGCAGGGAGCCAAGGGATTTCCCTCAGATTCCAGACAGGCATCTCTATGGTCACTCAACCTCCCCATCTACCACTGTAAGAGGGCAAGAAGAGGAAGCCTCCAAGGACCAGGTGGTGCTAGGTAGCTGTGGAACCCTTGTCTGATGGAGACTGGCATCTGTTCCGTGGGGACAGGGAGGAGACACTAAAGTCATGGATTCCAGGCAAAATGGCTCAACTTCTCCAGAATGAGATTGGGTCATTCTCAAGGGACTCAGTGCACATCCCCACTCTGTTGACAAGACCAAAGCTACTGGGAGCCATGATCCCGTGTGAAGCCCCCTGGCTCCACCTATGGACAGGAAACAACTGAGGTGGAATGGGGCATCAACTGAGGCAGGAGAGCAGGTATGAGTCTCCACAAGATCAGGAAGAATTATGCCTAAACCTGAACTTCCCAGAGCAGATGGTACCATCCCTGAAACATGGACTTATGCCTCCAAAGACACATCAAAGGAAGCTGCCCTAGAAAGATCTGTGTCCCTTATCTAAAGACACTGGAGGAGGAAGTGATGGAGGATCAGGCATCCTGGAGGTCCAGAGACACAAGAAAGGCTACTGATATTGACTAAGCCTGGGGAGAGCAGCTTCTCCCCTCCGTGGTTTAGCCTTGAAAGCTGGGGCTGCCTCTTCTTCAGACACTAATAAAGAGCCTTGAGTCCTCAAAAAAAATAAATATTAAAGACAAAACAGTAAAGCAGAACTGACATGCATATTTCCTGATTTCTGTCCAGGAATCCTATCTTCTGGTCTAAAACAGGACAACACATCCTCTAACACAAGATGTTTGTCAAACTGGAAGGTGAAGTGGGGAGACCTTCTATGTGAAGAATTTTGAAGTTCAGCAAAACCACAGTGTGGGGGGTCATCTCCTGCCATATTCAGCATCCCCTCCCCATCCACTACTTCTACCCATACAAAAACACCCAGCTACTGCTCCCATATTGATGAGCTTTGTTTGGATCCTCCACAAGCTCTCTGTGCCTTTCCCAGGGTGCTCCTGGGTTGCCACGCCCAGCTGTGCAATTGGTCACAGCACAAAAAAATGCCACTTTGACATTATACACATTTATAACAATAATTTCTGGCAGGTGGCTGTCAAAGGTCCTGTGGAAGAAAAATTTTTGCACAAAGATGTCCTATGCACTGGCAGATACCTGCGCTTTGCTCTGTCTTGACTGTCTTCTTCCCAATTCTGCACCAAGCAAGCTCCTGCTCCAGCCTTCCAAACTCCCTGCAAATATCCCCTCCTCCAGGAAGATATCCATGGCAACATCTCCCCCAGGCTTCCTACATGGATTAATGATTAACAACATCAATCAATGCTAACTGTTGATATGGGAGTCAATATTGCCTGCTGCAGATTTCCAAAGGGCAGGGCATGTACCGTTTGTGGTAGGAGAGATGATTCGAGGTGGAGCCAGGATTAAATAACGCTGACTCAGGCAAAATAAAATAATGTTCTTTTCAGTTTTCTTTGACTAAATCAAGGGGGGGAGGGTCATTCTCAGTTTGTTGCAAACATTAAGCATGTCTTCTATACCTCCCTGAACTCTTGCTAATCATCCACTATGTCAAAAGGAGCAAGATACAGGCTCAGCGTCTGCAGCAGGCTCTGGTGTCTCCTGAGAACTTGATGCTTAACCTACTATCAGTTGTGTATCTATTTGCTTTCTGTCTATGACCTTGGTGCTGATATTCTACTTCCCATCATGTTATAAAGTTTTATTTACAATCAATGCATTTAAGCACAAAATATCAAGTCTATTTACATAAAAATATTAAGTAAATAACAGAATGGTTGGTAAGCAGAGAGAGCAAAAGCTCTTCAAGGAGTGGTGCATGGTGGATGTACTGAAATACACTGCTGAGGGGAGCAGTGGGCGAGACAGGAGAGGTCTGCTGGCACCATGTGGGTTAGCTCCTTGGTCGGGGATTGAACTCATGCTGCAGTGGCTGTGGACAGCTTCATAGGTTGCTTGCCTCTTTACCCCTTGTGCCACCAGGGAGGCCCCAATTTCCTCACTTTTTAGATGGGAATCATAATGCCTTCCTCCTAGTGTAGCTCAAAAGCTACACTCAACGTACATGTAAAACCTTTGCAGGGCTTGCAGTTTTATTATTATTACAATTTTTCAGACTGAGGAAGTCAAACCCCAGTGGTGAGGAGGCCTCAGATGCACATCTATTCAGGGACCACGGAGACATTTTGGCGTTAGGAATTTTTATTTGCATGGGTTGAACAGAGAAATTGAGCCTGAGAAAGGGGTGGAGCAAGGGAGGGGTGCACAGCGTGGACTCACTTGGGGGGCTCAGCAGCTAGGACAGGGAAGCAGCCTTCTCTATCACTGCTTGTCACACAGGGAGCGAATGGCCTACATCTGTGGCTGGAAGGCCCCCCACTCATTCCAGAGCCAAAAGTCACCTGCCTCCCAGGGGTACTGGAATCCACAGTAGCTCGGTACTGATTGCCCACCCAGCTGGGAGGAAAGCAAGAAGACAGTGTGGAGACAACCAGCTTCACTGCCTGGGACCCAGGCCCTTCCCCCCACATCTGGACCGGTCAGCTCTCCATCTGTTCCTGCAGTCTGCGCCCCACCTCTCACCTGTGGGAGCCTGAACTTGGGTCACCTGCAGCTCCTGAGAGTTCAGAGCAGCAAGTCTTGTTTAGATCAAGGAGTCTGATGTGCCTACTGTATGGCTGGTGAAACTGAGACATAGAAAGGGGCAGAGGGCTCCCCCAGGTTCCACACCTTAGTGGTAGAGTCAAGACCTTTCCATTACACATCTTCCCTCTCAGAGGCCATATTGCTCATTTCCCCAAAGGATCTATATTTTCCTGAATATTCTTTTTCCCTAGACATATCCGGACCCATCTATCCACGTCTGTCCACATCAGCTCTGCTCTTCTTATTTATTTCTCCACTCCAATCTGGGTTTAGAAGCCCCTTTCTCTCCATCCTCCACCTTTTTAGAATCAGTTGCAAATTTGCTTACATTAATATGCAATTCATCAATTCTCTAGAGGTGAAATGCTAGCCACCAGCTGGCCAGAATTTAGGAGGCACCATGATCTTTGCTGCATGTCTGATGTTACATCTTACAGGGGGGACAGCCTCGGAGTCAATCTGTGCTTGGAGCAGGGGGCAGGATGAGGGCCTAGAGGAGAGATGCTTACATCCCACTGGAGGCCCTCATATGGCCCCCGCGGCCACAGAAGCCACAGACCCAGACACAGGGCATGTCATCCCCCTGGTCTCCTTGGTGTTACCCTTGAAGTTGACACCTTCACACTAGCAGATCATGTGCTCTTGAGAGTCCTAGAAAGGAGATGCAGGTGAGACTTGTGAAGTAGGAACAGGAGAGATAATTTAGAAGCACCTCACAGGTGTGGAGAGAGAGCTGAATCAGTTCAGGCCACCCTGTGACTCCCCCGGGTTGGCTGCTGTCCAGTCTGGAGAGACCCTCCTCCTCTATGAAAAGATGATAATAGTGTCTACTTCATAGAACTCTTATCAGGATTAAATGGTTTAATAAATCTGAGGCACTTAGATGTCTGGTATACACCAAGTACTTCCCCCTCCAAATTCATTATTTTTATTATTATGGTCTAGAGGCTCAGAGAAGTCAAGGTTCTTGATCAACATCCCATAACCTGTGAAGAACAGAAACTTTCAGAGACACATTCTTTGCTTCTCTTTCATTTCACACCTCTCCCCCCCCCCCCCACTGCCCCGCTGCAATACACAGCCTCTTTTCTGTGACTTTGTCAAACCCAGCTCACCCTTGCTTCAAGTACTTCGCGTCACTGTTTCCTGGAAGGCTTCTCTACCGATCTTCATGTGGTTGGCTTCAGTCCCTTAGGAGCTGGCTTCCCTGACCACTTCCAGCCTCGTGTCAGAGCCACAGGCCCCTCTTCCACTCTCCCAGCTCACAGCATGGATGGCACGTGTGCAGCATGCACTAAGGTGGTTTTTCGTTCTAGATTGATTTCTGAGATTAGGTTTTAAATAGCTGCCTCCTGTGAGGTCAGGGATCTTGCCTTTCAGATTGAGCTTGTGCACCCCGAGTCTGCAGCAGAGTCTGGCAGAAACAGGTCAACCCACAGGGCTTGAGTGCAGGCTGTAAGTGGAAGGTGTTTAGCTTAGAGCTCCCTCTAACTTCCAGGAGACAAGACCAGAAAAGAGACCGAGAACCTGGTGGGGGTGGGGGGTGTAGGAGGTAGAGCCACTCAGTGGGGAGATCTTGGTGGCTCATACTAAGACAGTGACAGAGATTAAACCAGCAGATCCCAGCCTTGGCTATGTGGAGACTACTGAGGGGATGAGGAAAAGATATCAGTGTCTGCACCCCAGTTCAGAGGTTCAGATTTAATCAGTCTGGACAGGGGTTTGGGTATTGGGAATTTTTTTCTGATGCAATATTTTTTTTTCCCTTTTTTTTTTTAATAATAAAAATTTTATTTTTATATTCCCCATACAATTGCAGCCCCCCATTCTGACCCCAATCCCTCCCCTCCCACCCCCGCCCCCCTAAAAGTGTCTCTGGTTCGTAGTTTTTTGTTGATTTTGATTTTCACTTTCTTATAGTTATTCGTTTTCCTGGTCCCTTATTTAAGTTTTCTAGATTCCTGCTATGAGTGAGACCATCCGGTATTTTTCTTTTTCTTTTTGGCTTATTTCGCTGAGCATGATCCCTTCCAGCGCCATCCATGTTGCTGCAAATTGCATGTGTTTATCTTTTTTGAATGCTGAGTAATATTCCATTGTGTATATGTACCACATCTTCTTGATCCAGTCATCTATTTTTGGGCATTTGGGTTGTTTCCAAAGCTTAGCTATTGTAAACAGTGCTGCTATAAACATAGGAGTGCAGGTGCTCTTTGGAATTGATGTTTCTGTGTCCTTTGGGTAAATACCTAGGAGTGGAATTGCTGGATCATATGGAAGCTCTATGTTTAGTAGGTCCAGAAATCTCCACACAGCTCTCCATAGTGGTTGGACCAGTTTGCACTCCCACCAACAGTGCAGAGGAGTTCCTTTTTCTCCACACCCTCGCCAACATTTGTTGTTGCTAGTTTTTTTAATATGTGCCATTCTCACTGGTGTAAGATGGTATCTCATGATAGTTTTGATTTGCATTTCCCTGATGACAAGTGATGTTGAACATTTTTTCATATGCCTGTTGGCCATTTGCATTTCCTCTTCAGAGAAGTTTCTTTTTAGCTCTTCTGCCCATTTTTTGACTGGATTCTTTTCTTTGTTGTTGTTAAGTCTCATCAGCTCTTTGCAGATTTTTGTGATCAGTCCTTTATCATTAGTGTTGGGTGCAAAAATGTTCTCCCAGTTGGTGGGGTTTCTCTTTGTTTTTGTTATTGTCTCTTTTGCTGTGCAGAAGCTCTTTAATTTGATGTAGTCCCAGCTGTTTATCTTCGCCTTCACTATCGCTGCTTTGGGTGATGTGTCTGTAAAGATGTCTTTGATGTGCAAATCACGTAGTGTTTCGCCTATATTTCCTTCTATATATTTTATGGTTTCAGGTCTTATGTCTAGTTCTTCAATCCATTTTGAGTTGATTTTTGTGTATGATGCAATATTTTATTTAAGTCAACACATTCAAATATTGTCATTGTAAATGTAAAATTATAATCTCAAATATTATAATTAATATAGTATATTCAAAATTTATCATTTCAATAGGTGACCAATATAACAATATTAATGACATATTTAAATTTTTTTATTACTATGTCCTCAAAATCTGATGTATACATTCTATGCTGACAGCACCTCTCCATTCAGAGTAGGCAAAGTTCAATAGCCCACAAGGCTGCTGCCCAGGACAGCAGGGCCTTAGAAACTACTGGGAATGCCCTGGCAGATCAAGCTTGCAAACAAGCCCCCTTTGACATAGATTGACTTCTAAGGGCCATTAACAGAGATCAATCTATGAATTGTTGTAAAGGGACCATGACAAAGGTTGGCAATCAGTCTCTAATTCTGAGAAAATCACTGGGAATGAACTGGTTGGATAACCCACTAAGTAAATTTGGTGGTGGGCCTCCCCTGGTGGCACAGCTGTTGAGCACTGGGTTTCGAAGCTGCCCACAGCCTCTGCAGCGCCAGTTCGATCCCAGGCCGCCAGGGAGAGTCCCACATGGCTCGCAGGCCTCTCCTGCCGCTCCTGCTGCTTCGGCTGCTCCCCTCAGCAGTCTATTTCATCAGTTTGCCTGTTCTGTTCCCCACTCTGGCTCTGGTGAATTCTCTCACCCTCCCGTGCTTCTGACTGAACCCAGTGCTTGTATAAATAAATAAATCTTAAAAATAAATAAATAAATAAATAAATTTGGTGGTGCCAAAACAGCTGGTTGAGAGCCTTAAACCGACATTCGCAGAAATTCTTAATGAAATTCCCATCATGGAAGCAGAAGTGGGATACCATGGGAGACTAACATTGGCAAGTGAAGATGTGGTTGGTTCATGACTCGTATCAACACGATTCTGGAAAAACTGAATTGCTTGGGATAATGCCACCCGTGTTGGTGTTGAATCTTCTTCAAGTTATATTATTTAACTTAGTAAAATACCATAAAGGGGCTCATTCAACAAATTGTTTTAACATCAAAAAGCTCATACTGCCTTTCTGCAACATCCTCTTCTCGGTCACTGCACAAGATCCAATCTGTGTGTTTGATGTTTTAGGTGGGCATCGGGATTTTTAAAGCTCCTCTGGAGGGGCTGACATGGGGCCAGGGATTGGAAACATTCTACAAAGACAACCAAGGGAGACAGGAAGTATCTATCCAACAACTTGAAAGTTGACTCCATTCTATAGCACAAGGAAGAAATCTCTGTGTTTCTCATTTGCTCAGCTCTCCTGGCAGGGACTGGGCCCCAAGTAGAGTCTATCAGGGAGGCCTGGTGAATAAGAGTATGCCCTTGGACAGCTCAGAGATGGTTCACCCCAATTTCCCCATTTGCCATCAGACCTCAGATTTGCTTCTTCCTTGCCCCACTGACCCCCTAACCCAACCAGGAGCCACTCACCATCCAGACAGGCCACAAGGACATGAGCTGGACACTGTGGTAGCTGCTGGACCATGTGTCCCAGGTGGGTATTCTCCCATCTCCAGGATGAACATCCCCCCAGAAGTTGGACTGCTCAAAGGCGACTCAGCTGGATGTGAGCAGGATGGGGAAGGTATGGAGGCCCCGGAGAGGCCAAGGCACAAAGGAGAGAAATCATTAGCAGCGGCCCCTTGCTCACATTAGCCTTCCCCTCTGCCCCTTGCAGAGCAGTCCTGATGCCAATGGATTCGCTCCACGGTCAGCCGTTTCTCGGCTGCAACACTGGGCAAGTGGCTTCATTTCTGAGCCTTGGTGTTGTCAGCCAATATAACTGTTTTCTCGGCACTTGTGAAAGATTAAATGAGAGAATACATGTAATTATGTAAACAAAATATTTCCCTAGATGCTGGGTTCATGCATGATGTAAGTACTACAAGTTGCTGGGGTAAAGTAACACATAAAATATTTTCTTATAAACCCAATAGCAGCTGGAGAAAATTTCTGTTAGATGCTATGGTGCCTTTAACACTTGCTAATCTCTGTTTGTAACTAAGGAGGGACAGGCCATTAGCCCCATCTTGAGCAGGCAACAGTATGATAGTATTGCTTCTCTTTGTTGTTTGATTTTGTATGGATATTTTTTACTTGTAGCAGGTGTTACTAGCTTTCCATTCATAAAAGTGATGCAAAGGTTCTTTTAAAATGTATTTATTTGTGTTCAAAGGGTCATTTAAAGTGAAATATATTGAATAAATTATAGCCCAGGAAGTACAGGGATCAGGGAAAAATTAATACAGGTGCTTGAATTATGTGTTTTCTAAGATTAGTCCGGCACTAGAAGACTGGTGCAAGAAGACACTCAATAATTAGCATGGGCAGCAGGGAAAAGATATTGAGATCTACCTTTCAGATATTTAAGAAACTTGAATGTGATCATGCATATGAAGGGGTTCAGTCATTTAGGGGGGTCCAGTACAACCTGATTAAGGATGGGTAGTGAGCTTGTGTCAGAGGGACCAAAGATTCTGGGGGAGCAGAATGATCTTCATTTCACAGATGAGAAGACTGAGGCTAAGACCTTTGTTCTATATATGTTTTGAAATTCTCAGGGTGCAAGAAAGGACTGAGGGGGACACTGGCATTTAGCAGCATCTGCATGAGGGCTACTGGAGCCAGGAGATGGAGGTGATTGGTTACCACCATGTACTGAAGTAGAATGTGTCTCAAGATCCTCGTCTGAGGAATAAACCAACCCACACAGGAGTGACCAAATTGAAGATGTTAAGTCATCAGACTAGCGCTGAGTCTGTCTTAGTCCTGCCTGGTCTGGAATAGAGGAGAAAAGACTGGTTAGTTGACTGACTGACTGACTGACTGACTGACTGGATGATTGAATGGATAGGCAGATGAATGGATAGATGAATAAGAGGTGAATGGGGGAGTGTAGATGGATAGATGAATAGATGGATAGATGAATGGATGGATAGGTGGATGGATGAGTAGGTGGGTGGATGATGGAGAATGAACGGCTAGCAGGAGGAAGAGATGAGTAGATGAATTAAAAGATGGAGAATAGATGGATGGGTAAGTAGATGGCAGATGGATGGGTGGATGGATGGAGGGACAGATGGATGGATGGACAGATACATGGATGAGTGGCAGGTGGTACCAGGTAGGAGTTAAAAGCACAGAATCAGGGAACAAAGACCAATGGTCTAATCCTGGCCCATCATTTATTTGCTGTGTGACTTTGGACAAGTCACTTTAACTCATTATGACTCAGTAAAAGAAAGAATGATCTACCTTGTCAAGAGGTTATAAGGGTCTAAAAGAAGAATCACAGAACAAGTCCAGCACAGAGAAAGCACGGTGAAGAGTGTCTTTCATGATTCAAGCGTGAGGGAAGCTGCTGGAGATTGGAGCTTATGGAAAAAGACAGATCCCCTGTCTTCTCCAGGGGTATGATGCCCAGAGTGAGGATTTAAAATAATTATTTCAGTGACTTTTCTTACCTCTCATGGCTCATTTCAACCTTATAAGCAAGGAGAGCAGTAGGGCAGGTATTTATATGGATGAGGAAACTGAGGCTCAGAGGGGTCATTGTGAGAGGTGACACAATGGGGTGTGGGGGGGGGCAGGAGTCAGTTGATGTTCCCAGGTTTCTGACCCGCAAGCCTCTCCTCCCCTCCCTGAAGGAGAGCTCACTTCCGTCTATTCCTCCTCCACTGCTGCTTCCCCACAGACCTGCTGGTCCTGCCACAGACCCAGGTCCCTGGCTTACCACGTTTCCCTTCCCATTGGACACAGCCCCAGGCTGCATACAAGAAACCAGCTGCATCTTTGTTTGAGAAGAAAACTCTGGGTTTGAGTCACTGGCACCAAAAAAAGGCTGAAAATCCAAACTGGCCACATCCGGCAGGCAGCTTCTGTTCCCAGCTGGGCCTTGGGTCTGAGGGTGGGGCTGAAGCTGTGTTTGCCACACAAGGGATACAGAAGGCAGAAGTGTCTCTGTGTCAGCCCCCCTGGGTCAGGGTGACTTGGCTAAAGCCCCAGTGCATGTCACCTGCCATGTTCACCACCTGCCCACAAGGTCCCAGTCTCATAGCGTATTATTTCCTTCAGGCCTCAGAATAATTCAGTGGGAAACCTTTACTCTCTCCACTTCAGAGGTGAGAAAACCGAGGCCAAGGCAGAAATGGGACTCGAACCCAGGCCTGTCTGACCTCAGTGTCTGTCTCTGCTCATTGTCTTGCAGGGAGTCCCAGGATGCTGGCAATCCAGGCTGACCACATCCCCTGGGGATGTTCAGGCTGGAGAGACTGTGGCTGGTCCTGTGTCTGACCTCAGCCCACAGGCACTGGAGCTGGTACAGTCACTACCTCCAAGGGATAATTTCCTGCTTTATATGGGCATTACTATGGTCCAGTGAAGCCCAGAAAGGCAGGGTGCATGGTGACAAAAGCATTTTGGGTGATACTGATCAGTCTGAGTTGTATCTGGACTCTATTACCACTACTTTTGCCAAGGGATTTAACCCCTTTGTGCCTCAGTTTCTTCATTTGTCGAAGGGGAATAGTCTCTCCCTCATACAGCAGTTTAGATCATCTAGGCAAAGCCCTCTGTCAGTGCCTGATGTCCAGCAGGTGTTCAACAGTTGCTTACGATAACTCTCGGGGTGAGTTGACGCCTGGGAGAGGGGACAACTAGTGGACACTTGGTCTCTTCCTGTCCTCAGTGACAGGTCAGGGCTCCTTCTGTAGTAAAAGCAACATTTCTCTGGAGCCCAGAATCATGTCTGTTAGTGTGACCTCAGTCTAATCACATCACCTCTCTGAGCCTCAGTTTCCTAATCTGTAAAATGGGAAGGAGAAAAGGCCTCTCTCCTCTCCCTCTTGGTTTTGAAATGAGGACTGGGAGAGAGAGAGCACAGTGGCAGGCACAGAGCAGGCGCCCAGTGAATGGCACCTACCGCTGCTTGTTATTAATTTACCATGGCGATGGGAGTGCTCACGGGGCTGGGGTGACAGGCTGTGCACTTTGGGGATGCTGCGGTCTCCCAGGTTCAGGCACTCCCTGGAGAATTCTATTTGCTGTTCTTGGAAGTTCTCTTGCTCAAAGGCTACCAGCTGCAGGACAGATGCCTCCATGCTGAGGGGACAAAGTGAGGGGTGAGGAGTACTTCCAAACTGGAAGTCAAATATCCATTAAATACCTATGTAAATAAAAGCGGGCTGTGCACAGATCGGATGAGAACATGCCATCCCTTCACTTCTGAAATTCATATCTGCACTTCATATCTGAACTTCATATCTGCACCAATATTCCAGTTATTTACCTGGAATACCCTCCCTACCATACATCCCCATTCTGGTGTTTATATTTTCTCTTGTGTTCTAGGGGCAGATGTCACCTCCTCCAGGAAGCCTTCCCAGTGTGAGCTTGGTTGAGTGCCCTCTGCTGTCCTCACTGCATCTGTAACACAAGTAACACAGTCACTCCTGCTTTGCTTCTTGGTCTCTCTGTATGCACCCTTCTCCCCCATTATTCAACTCCTCCAAAGGCCAAGGGCTCTTCTGGGGTGAAGTGGGGGCTGATCCATTTCCATATCTCGTGCTCCAGCCCTAGCCTCTGCCACAGAACTGATGATCAGGAAACATTGGCCATTCTGTTGCTCACAATGTAGGGGAGCCCAGAAGCAGGGACCCCCATGGGAACTTGGGCTAATCCCCTGTCCTCATTACGCCTCCAGTTTTGGTTTGCTTATCTGCTAGTTGTCCTAAGTTGGGAAAATCTCTCTAGTCACCCGAATCATACCAAGCTCTTCCTCCTATCAGCCTCAATTTCCCCAAGACTTTCAAATACCTTTTGACCCAATTCTTCACCCCTACACTTGTCTCCTTGAGACATGGATAAAAACATCTTGGCCATGCTGGCCACAAGACCAAAAGCAAGCATGGGCTCCAATGGTCCTCAGAAGTGGCTGTCACACCACCACATACAGCAGCCAGAGCACATGGTCCACATCATGCCCAATACCATGATGGCTACTGGGAGTCTCATATTCAACTACATACTTAGAAAGGGATCAAGCACATGGCGTCAGGGCTGCAGGAGGCAGACGGCAGTGTCCTCGAGTGGTAGGGGAGGGCAGTGGGCTCAGGGAGACACTTTAGAGTTAGAGAATTTTTTTTACCAAGTGTGGGCTTTTAACCCGGGTAGTGGGTTTCTAGGTGCTGCATTATTAAAAATTAAAGTAATGACTAAGTACCTGACTGCATACTAAAAGCTGGCCATCGTGGTGCCTCACTCTCCAGGAGCCCTGCTGGTGCTAACTGCTTCCAGCCCTTTTCACCACCTCCTGCTACCTAGAGAACCTTCTGGGAGGAAGGTTCCTGCTGCTAAGACACCCCATTTCCCTTCTTTCTGTTGTTTCCTACAAACTGTAGTCATGAAGGGTGGTGGAGGAGGGGGATCGAGGGGGGAGGGAAGAGGGAGAGGGGAAAAGGAAGAGAGGTGGAGATCCTCACCCTGTGGCTGCCAGGGGGCAGGTGCCGCACTGGCACTGGGCAGGGCACAGAGGCTGGGGCCAAGGTGGAGCCTGAGCCTGGGGTGGGGTGGCAGGCAGGGCCTGCTTTCCCTTTACATCAGGCCTGGGGTCACAGCAGCTGAGGCAGAGGCCTCCACAGCCTGAGACGTGGCTTCCTCCAGCACAAGTCTGCAAAGAAATCTTCGGCCTAGGTAAATCAAGGGTGGCCCCACCCCCATAACGCCTCACCCTGTGTTTTCAGGCTACTTTGGACTCATTTCCTCTCTTTCTCTTTCTAAAACATAGGCCCCAAAGTCTTCTGGCGCAATCTCCCTCCCCAGCCAAGAATTTCCCCCCAGGGGCCACTTGGTGCAGGTCCCCACACAGGCCAGGCCCTCCTTCTACCTCCTTCCCGCTTCATGCTGCTTGGCCCCCTAGAGTTTTTCACACCACTTGAGCTTCTTTGTGCAATTTCAATTTGCCTCATCAGAGTCAAAACAAGAAGACACCTTGCGGGTGTCAGGTGTGTGTGAGGCTCTGTGACAGGCATTCAGGAACTCTCAGTCTCTCACCTCAACCCCTCACAGCAGGTGCCGGCCTACCCCCTCGCCTACCCCCCTCTGAGCAACCGAGGCTCACAGAGGGGAGGCGACCTGCCAAGCCCACGCAGCTACTAGGTGATAGGACTCGGGTCTCTCAACTCCAGCTTATAGACCCAGCAACTCGGTAATTGAACGCGCTGCTGTTCCTTTATTCTGAGTCACCGCCCCTCCCCCAGAAGCTGGCTCAGCACCTGACACGTAAGCGGTGTCAGCTCCCGTTTGCACAGAGAATGGTTGAAGGAGGCTCCCCTCTCCGGCCCCAGGTGAGCCGCTGCCTCTGGTCTCATCTGGAAACAGGTGTCTGGGTGCAGAGGCAGGCCCAGGCTTGGGGCAAAAAGAAGGACCCAAGAGGACTTATTTAGAGCATGCCGGAGCTTCTAAAAGGAGGACTGTGGCTTGGTGGGCGTTGGGTGGAGAGCACTTTGGTCATTTCCAGTGGTTCCTCATTGCTCTGGGGTCATGGATGCTTTGGGGGTTTGAGGAATGCAGGAAAACGATGCTCCCTTTAAATCTGGAGACAATTTCCAGATATTTGAGGACAGGCTCAGATCACAGAGTAAGGCCTCTGGTGCAGCAACTCTTTTTGTGCAAAGTTGCTCCATGGGGCAAACAGATCCTCCCTCCCTCCCCTCAGGAAGACCTCTGCTGCTCTGTATGACCTCCCTGTGGGCAGGTCCCGCTCTGTCTGGGCGACGTCTGTGGCTCCCAGGCTCTTGCCAATCCTCCCAAGGCTCTCCCTGGGCTGGTAACTGGGCTCCTTCCTTCCTGGGGAGGTTTGCATTTCCTCAATTCTCTCTTCCTCTGTCTCCCCTCTCCCTCCCCTGTCCCCCTGCTCCCCTCCCCCTCCCGATGTTGACTGCTGGTTTCGGTTCTCTCTGCGCCTCTGGATCCCTGCATTACTACTGTCTCGCTCTTTTTCTCCGCCCACGCCCACTCGGTTTCTTCTGTAAGTCTCCTCCCCCCTCTCTCCTCCTCCCTCCTCCCCTTCCTCCTCTCTCCTCCCTCCTCCTCTCCCACCTCCTCCCCCTCCTGCTACCCTTTCTCCTCTCCCTCCTCTTCCCATCCTCCTCTCCCTCCTCCCGCCTCCTCCCACTCCTCCTCCTCCCCCTTCTCCTCTCCCTCCTCCTCTCCCTCCTCCCTCTTCCTGTCCCTCCCCTCTCCCTCCTCCATCCTCCTCTCCCTCCTCCTTCTCTTCCTCCCCCTCCTCCTCCCCTTCCTCCTCTCCCTACTCCTCTCCCTCCTCCTCCCCCCTCCTCTCCCTCCTCCTTCCTCCTCTCCCTCCTCCTGTCCCTCCCCTCTCCCTCCTCCTCTCCCTCCTCCCTCCTCTCTCCCTCCTCCTTCCTCCTCTCCCTTCTCCCTCCTCCTCTCCTTCCTCCTGTCCCTCCCCTCTCCCTCCTTTCTCCTACTCTCCCTCCTCCCTCCTTCTCTCTCTCCTCCCTCCTCATCTCCCTCCTCCCTCTTCCTCTCCTCCTCCCTCCTCCTCTCCTTCCCCTCCCTCCCTCTCCCTCCTCCTCCTCTTCTCCCTCCTCCCTCCTCCTCTCCTTCCTCCTGTCCCTCCCCTCTCCCTCCTCCCTCCTCGTCTCCCTCCTCCCTCCTCCTCTCCCTCCTCCCTTCTCCTCTCCTTCCTCCTGTCCCTCCCCTCTCCTCCTTCCTCCTCTTCTCCCTCCTCCTCTCCTTCCTCCCTCTTCCTCTCCCTCCTCCCTCCCCCTCTCCCTCCTCCTCTCCCTCCTCCCCTCCTCTCCTCTCCTCCTCCCCTCCTCTCCCTCGTCCCTCCTCCTCTCCTTCCTCCCTCATCCTCTCCCTCCTCCCTCCTCCTCTCCCTCCTCCTCTCCCTCCTCTTCCCTTCCTCCTCTCCCTCCTCCTCTCCCTCCTCTTCCCTTCCTCCTCTCCCTCCTCCCTCCTCCTCCATCCTCCTCCCCCTCCCTCTCTCTCAACTTTCTGCTGTCCTGTCTGCCTCCCCTCCCCTCTTCTTTCCCCTGGGCTTCCAGCGGTGGATTTCTGAGTTCCCTCTTACCTGGGTATCTGCTGCTTCCCAAGGAGGGCCATGGGCAGGCAGGTGCTGTGGGTCACTAGGGGCCGACCCCCCCCTTATAGTCTGGAAGACACCAGACTCCATGGTCTGAAGCATAAAGCCAGGGCTCAGCAGGCCAGGTGGGGAGGGGGGCCGGCCTTGCAGGGGGTGGGTGGGGGGGAGGGGGTGGGTGGGGAGGGGGGGTACCTGCAGAGAGCAGCGCTTTCCCCTGTAAGAGTCCGGAGCACAGGGCAAGCCCCGGCCAGCTGGGCTTCCCCTTGTGTTCACCGGCCCTTCCCCTGACGCTGCTTCAAAATCCCAGCCCACAGGGTCCTCACTGGCAGTCAGTTCTGAGACAGGGAAAAGGGAAGTCCCTAGAAGGTGGGAGCCCGGGGCAGCGGGCTGAACGTGGTGCAGCTACTATGCGCCCTGTGGCTTTTGTCTGGTGTCTACCCCTGGGGACCCCTGGGACACCCCAGGCACTGCTGAGCCAGGTTCACCCCAGGTGCTGGTGCTGGTGGGGGAGGGGCTCTGCCGGATATCCCCTTCTGGACCAGGCAGCTCAGGAGTCCTCAAGATGCCATGACCTGGGGCCAGCTCTGCCCTCTGCCTCTCCACCCTAACTCAGCAGCCCCTCAAGTCCCTGCCTCCCCCTCCACTTTCATCCTGGGCCAAGGCCTGGGAGTAGGGCAGAAACTGCGGGATGGGGCAGCAACTGAAACCAGGGCAGCAAGGCCTGTGGCGGAGCCACCCACAGGTCTGGGCTTGCAGACCAGGCCATCTGGGGTAGCTGTGTCCCCAGTGGTGATGGGCTGCCTGCCAAAGGGTAGAGCAGAGGTGGAGGGGCGGTCCCTCATGCTGGGTGGCTGCACTTGAGCATTTACTAACTGTTCTATAATCCTTATTCTGAGGTTGGGTCTCTGGGATAAATCTTATGTGCAGATTAGGAAACTGAGGCAGCTCCCTTTCCCTGCTCTCAGCCTGTTTTTTCATCTGTAAAGTGGAGTTGGGAAGTCACATCTATTAAACCCTTGAACCTCAGCTCTCAAAAACAATGCACTCCTACTTTTATATGAATAATTAATAGTAATCATTTCCTCCAGCTTTATTGAGATATAAAGGACGCAGAACACAGTGTAGGTTAAGATGCACAACTTGTTCATGTGATTTATTTGTAATTTGTGAAATGACCACTTCCACCCTTCACATAGTTACTGTGTTTTTTTTTGAAGTGAGAACATTGAAACTGCACCTCAGCCGCATTTAAGCAGAGGACACTGTTTCGCTAGCTATGTCTGTGCTGTCTATCAGCGCCCCAAACGCGCTCATTTTATAACTGGAAATTTGTACCCTTTGGCCAACATCTCTCCATTCCCCCTACCCTCACCCCCTGATAACCACCACTCTACTCTATTTCTCTGAGTTTGTCTTTTTTTGATCCCACATAAAGTGTCTTTCTCTGTCTGACTTGTTTCACTTAGCATAACGTCTTTGAGGCCACCCGTGTGGTCACAGATGGTAGGACTTCCTTCTTTCTCATGACTGAATAATAGTTCCTCTCTCTCATGTATCTATCTGTCTATCTATCTATCTATCTATCTATCTATCTATCTATCTATCTACCTACCTATCTATCTGTAATCTGTATGTCTCAACTCTCCTTTATCGTTCACCCATCGACTGACCCTTAGGCTGTTCCCATATCTGGCTTTTGGATTATTGTTGCACTAAACATGGGCGTGCAGTTATCTTGGAACTGCAGGAGACACTGAACAATGTCCAGAGGCACTTTCAGTTGTCAGCACTAGAAGGAGGGAGGAGGGCAGTTTGCCTCTGTATCATTTTATCTGCCCACTATAGGAACATTTCTGTGGCTTCCCGTGGGCGTGTGCCCCACACTAGCAGGCCCCAAGGTGCTCAGTTTAAGAGAGCCTCCCAAAGACAGCAGCGGGGAAACTGGAATAATTTTGGTTTTAAATGAGAACGGTGGGACTGATCTTGATGTCTGGGACCTGGCCTTGGTTAGGATGAGGACGATGTTCAGAATGACACAGTGATATCTCCAGGACTGGGGACAGATCCCACCCCTTCTCCAAACCGGAAACTTACCAAGATGGAGCCAGAGAACATGCCAGATGAGGGACCAGTCAGACTCTAATCCCTGGAAGACAAAGCTCTGATTCTGCAAAGGAGAGACAGAAAAAAATGCCAGGCCTGGAAAAAGTCCCAATGGACAGGTGGCAGCAGCTTTGGAGCTGGGAGTGGGGACGTTCTGCCTTAGACAGTTACATGGGACTCCTAAAGGGGGCAGAGGACCAGCAGTGGACAAGGAGTCCGAAAACCTCCTATTTCCCACTCTGCCCCCTGGCAAGTCATTTCACCTCGGTGTCTGCCTATAAATGGGACAGCAGTAAAGTCCATCACAGGACTGTAGTGGGTGATATGGCCTGCCTGGTCAACTCTCGACAGATGCCTGTACCTTTTCCTCTCCTCTGCCCCTTTCTCTTCTAGCACAGCAACTGGGGTGGGTTTCATGCTGGAGGTGGTATTTAATCCAGACTCTGACGGATAAGGAGGATACAAAGCGAGATGGAAAGAAATGCTTTTTCTGAGCAGAAGTGTGGAGGTGGGAACTTGGGGCGTATGTACCAGAAGGGCTGGTGGCTCCTTTGGACTGGAGCTCATGAACCCTGAAGGAGAGCAGAGAGAGCCAGGCAGGAATGGTGAGCAGATCCAGGACCCAAAATGCCCAAAGAGGAGTCCAGAAGGCTCTGTGGGCAGAACAAAGCAGTTGGTGGGCGCAAACAT